AGATACCTCTGATTAAATTGCAGGACTAACACCCGCCAGAATAATTACATAACATAGTATACTGTACTGTTTCACAGCATCAGATCGTCCACAAATTAACAATCCTAAGATACTAACAGCATCTCACGATCACCGTGTAGAAGGGCCTATGCAGAACATATCTCTTATCACAGTCAGCCTTGAAAAAAAAAAAAACTCGGTTCGCGCAACTTCTCTTACCTCCTGCACCCTCCAGCCCAATTAGTCACTTACAACCTGTGACTGTTGGTCCCTGCCTCTTTACCAGTTCCGTGCGTTTTGCTATTAGTTTTTCCCCAGTTCGCCATGATGATGTGCCATAAATTTCCAAGCTTCTGAGACTAGATGCAGTTTACTAGCCAATCTTCCTTGATGTTGTTCTTCTTCTTCTTTGCTCACCACATGTAAGCTCCCGTAGAAAAGTCCTGGTTATTCGTCCATTTGAACTGTAGCTTTGTGCTGGAGCCTACGTTTTGCGTGTGCATCCATTTTACTGGCTTATTTATGTGCAGTTTATTGTTCCTTGCCGCTCGGGCAGAGACACTCCGACTTCGAAAGAAGTCTCCAGTAAGTCGACTCCTACGACATGCTTGTTGGGTAGGCAGTGGGTCTGTTCTTGTTTTCCCCACAATGGGGCTCGGGAACCCACACGGGGACCTTGATGTTCAGATCTTTAACGATGCCAGTATTTCTTTCTATTTTAAGTATCTGCCTATAGCATTTTCAGCCCAAAGGCCTATATCGTCTTCCTTGATAGCTGCAAGATATTCCAAGACTCACATTGGTATTTTGCCACAGGGAAGATGCATGCTTTCAAAAAGGGTGACTGATTTTGTTGCTCGTGCTTAACCATAGACTTGTAATGCTGTAGATACAGGATATAAATGCATAATCATTCTTGCATTTCGCAAGCCATTTGATAGCGATGCGCTGGAAGAGTAAATCATTAAATAAAATATGCCAGTTCAGCCATGATGGTATATCCAGTTGTAGATTTTATAACAACCTGTCTTGACTGATGGGGTAGATGATCATGTTCGCAAACATATCGGTCTTCTCTTTCTTCTTTAGAGTTCACCGACAGTAAACTCCTATGGAAATTACTAAGTGTTCTTCTAATTTTGGACTTTGGTTTTGTTCCCGAACGTGAGTTTTGCGTGCAAATCAGTTTTTTAGATCTCTCTGATTTGTATGCAGACTATTGGTTCACCCTCTTCAGGCAGACACACTCCAACTTCTAAGAAAGCAACTCTATGCTTGTTAAGGGGCTGTGGGTCTAATATTGTTTCCCTCAAAATGGGACAAGGGAACCTACATGGGTTCTCTGTGCCATCGTCTTAGACAAGCCAGTATTTCTTATTTCTTCTCTTGATCTGTCTCTGCCTCTCTAATCCCTCAACTTTTCCGACCTCCACCTATCCCCCCACACGATTTTGCGGTACTCCTCTTATCACATGTGAGAATCAAATTTTAATCTCTCACTTTTCTGACCTCCCCTCCCCCATCATTTTGCGGTATTCCTCTTATCACATGTGAGAATCAGAACGGCTGGACAAAATCCAATCAAACCCCAACTAGAGTATTGAACTCTCAACCACATTGTCAGCAGATAACCACTTTAAATAAGCAATTCAGAATGTATGGTTATTTTGCCACATTTCCCGTTTCTCATTGCCCATTTATTCACATTTGATCGTAGCCACATTATCTGACAGCTGATGTAATAAACCTCAAGTTCTCAGATGCTATCACGAGGCCAATAACACTATTCTCTCATACATTGTATTATTTTCCCATCACAGTTTCACTCCTGAATTTTTGCTTACTTAAATGAAAGATTGGCTCTGAAAGTAATCTTTCAAATCTCTGTGAAACAAAACACATTTGCCTGAGCAAAAAGAAAGTTTGATCGTCCATTTGTCTACTTTGTTTATATTCGAGTGTTCGAGGCTTCTAACTTTGGGAATATTGTTTTAAATATTTTATTTTAGAAGTGGAGTTAGTGCTATTGTTAATTATCTACTGTGTCATTCAGTCCGAACTTCTTTCTATAAGTGCCAATTTATATGTTAGTGTATTTATCAGATAGAACTAAATCTTTATCGATTTTCAACTGCCAAGGGATTTTTACGTGTGCAACAATACACACCGGCGTCTGATCTTACCACACAGAGACCAGGAAAAATTACTAGAAGTGCATTTGCAAAAAAAAAAAAAAAAAAGTCTTCGCCGGGGGTTGAACCCCAACAATGCTAGCTGTGCGGGGTCTTCACCGGGGGTTTCCTACGGACAGCAATGAGGGAAAGGGAACAACACCCACCACAATGCAGAAATTATGCAGCATTTTTTTTTTGTACGGTGTTACTAGTATTTGCTACTGACTGATTCTCATCCTTGAAGTGTTAATCCTACGGACAGCAATGAAGCAAAAAATACACCGAGAAATTAACAACACCAAAAATAAAGGGGTAAAAGAAATTTATTATGGAAACTTGAAAACACCCACCACTAACTCATTAAACAAGAGCATCACAGAAATCAGGAGTAAGACGTATTATCACTTTTTTTTTTTTTTTTGGACAATATTAATAAAATAGAAAAAAAATAAAACAGGAGGACTTAATAAATGCGTCGATCAATGCATATTTCACAGTGATAGTAAACAGCTGCAAGACCAAAAAACCTACGACAGTTGCTTCAAGCATCCCTGCCAACATGAGAAATAGACATCGACATATCTAGATGTGGCAAGAATATGAGGTAATGTATTCCATGGTAAAATGGACAGAGAGATCGAAGCAAGAATCCAACAAGCCAACAATGTCGCCATACCAGCTTGCCCCATTTTAGTCCCCAATAAAAAGACAAAATTATAAATACAATCATTATACCCGCTCAATGCGACTTGGACATTAACAAAAGAACAAGAAGACTATGGCGGATGTATGCGATAAAACCAGAAGAGATGTGTGATGTGACAAGTATTGCTTCTAGCAATGAAATGGTTTGGTCACCTGAGAATGTGCCAGCATCAAGAGCATCAACATGAAAATCGAGAGACCAAGAAGAAGATGGATGAAGGAGTAACTTACAACTTGAGACTTCATAAAACGGCATATGAAGCGACTGAGCGCGCCCTGGCTCGCCGATCATCTGATAGACTGCGACGCCTAGCGACACAACAGATTTTGACAAAAAAGAAGAAAAATAAGGAGTCCTTAGTCCTCATTTAGTGTCTTTTTTTTTTTTAGAGCCGCGTGATTATTATTGAATAGCAAACTTGCTTGCAGGGCGGGTAACCTTAGGTTCGAATCCGCATCAAAGCCTGTTAGTTAATTTGTTTTTAAATTGCCCTGAACTAGTACACAATAATGAGAAAAAATCCATGAATAAAGCATTCACAGAAGGAGTCTGCCCATCGTCTGTAGGTGTACCCCTATCATCAGCTTCTGTACTAGTAGTGAGCAGTCAGCTGGTGTACTTGAAATAAGTCAGCGTCTGTGGCTTAGGCGTTGCGAGCGCGCTATGTAATGCCGGGGTGCCGGGTTCGATCCCAGTTACGGATGATTTGTCTCGCGTGGATTTCGACAGAGGCACCGACAGGTGACTGTTTAGTAGGCAGTGGCAAACTACTGAATGTAAAATTTGCCTTAATAACAGCCTTAATAAACTACAACAGCCAAAAAAATGCGGGGTTGGTTCAACAACGTCCTGTAAATGATACGGAACTAATTTTATAACTTGTACTGAAGATTGTGGATAGGCATAACGACCAACGCCAGGCAACAGTGACTGTGAGGAGAAGATCCCTCATTGTTAGAGATCTGATTATTAATATTATTGTAGTCGCGTCTTCGGCTAGGCGTTGCGTACGCGCTTCGAAATGCCGTGGTGCCGGGTTCGATTCTAGTTGCGGAGTCTTGCGCCTTGCGTTGGTTTCGACAGTGGTATCGAGAAGCCGACCTTTGAGTAAGCAATGGCAAACTACTAGACGTAAATTTGCCTATAAAAACCCCAACAGCAGCAAAAAAAAAATTGCTGGGGCTGGTTCTGCAACACTATACATTTTCCTTCTACTGAAACAAAAACTTCTGCGCTAGTTGGGACATGTCTCTCCCGTGCATAACGGTTGCATTCCAAAGCATCTTCTGTATGGCGAACTGGTAAAGGTGAACAGATCTGCAGAAAGGCTAATACAACGATATGAACGACATCTGCAAACGCGAACGGAAAGATACCAACACTGACACAGACAGTTTGGGAAAGATCAGCTGCAGACCGACTTATGTGGAGGTAGTCGTTAAAAGACTGACTGTTGCGGTTTACACATAGCCAACGACAGCAAGCTATAGAGAGGGGAGACGTGTAAGAGAAAACCAACCTCCGTATATTAATTACATTACTTACGTTTTCTGTGAACTCAACCGGCAAAGACTGTCATTCCCGCATTGGACTTTACAGTCATAATAGATGCTGTTCCAAAAACCAGCGGCACGACTCCAAGATACCCAGAGACTGGCGGTTGCCTACCTAGAATTTGCTAATGTGCAGTGACTAAACTTGGACACTTGCCTGTTAGCCCAAAGTTCATGGGTTTGAAATCTCATTAGAGTGAATTTTTGTTTAACCAATTTGGCCTGCCTGTCGACCCAGCCTAAACTTGAAACCAGAAAATGCCATGGGAAAGTAGAGGCAGTCGTTATGTTGACCTAGTAACCAGACGTGTGCTGATTGTCTGTACACATTTTTTGTCTAAACATCATTTACCCGATGCCTAACTGAAAAATGCCTTTATCTTGTGTTGTGTTCTTTTCCTTAATGTTAAATTTTTTTTATTGCAGATTCCCTCCAGAAACATGGAGAACACATGCAGAAGAAAGCCAAACTGCCATCATGATGGAACATAGACAACTTGCTACAGTGCTAACACCACACATCATTAGTTGTTATTGAATGGAAATACACCCCCTTGCAGTTACACAATGGTTTTACAATTAAATCTCACGGGTAAAGAGGCGTTCCCGTTTATGTTTCCTGCGAAGACATCCACTCCGAAAGGAGCTCTTCGTTATGCCGTAACTCCATCAACATCAGCAGATGACATAGCTTCTCTTGCCAAAAGTGGCTTCGATATCCAGAGACAGAATCAGTTTGGTGGGAATATTTCCAATGCGTCTAACGAAGACTGGTTCGACAGAAATGAAGAATTGCGCCGAGCAGAGATTGGCGTCATGGTAAGAGTGTGGAATGCCGTTTCCGTTTTAAAAGAGATGTGTTTTTGTGCTGGATACGGTTTCCGTATTAATAGAGGTGTGTTGTGTTGTTGTGCTAAATACGGTTTCCGTATTAATAGAGGTGTGTTGTGTTGTTATGCCGGATGCGGCTGCCGTGTTAATAGAGGTGTGTTATGTTTCACTGGATACGGTTTCCGAATTAATAAAAGTGTGTTGTGTTGTTATGCTGGATATGGTTTCTATATTGACAGAGATGCGCTGTTGTTGTTGTGCTGGATACGGTTTCCGTATTAGTAGAGATGTGTTGTTGTGCTGGATACGGTTTCCGTATTAGTAGAGATGTGTTGTTGTGTTGTTGAGCTGGATACGGTTTCCGTATTAGTAGAGATGTGTTGTTGTGTTGTTGTGTTGGATACGGTTTCCGTATTAGTAGAGATGTGTTGTTGTGTTGTTGTGCTGGATACGGTTTCCGTATTTGCAGAGATGTGTTGTTTTGTTGGGCCACAGTTTACGTATTAATATAAATGTGTTGTTGTTTTGCTGGATACGATTTCCGGATTAATAGAGATGTGTTTCTTTTGCGCTGGATAGGGTTTCCCCATTAAAAGAGGTGTGCTGTGTTGTTGTGTACGGTTTCCGTATTAATAGAGTTGTGTTGTTATTGTGCTGGATACTGTCTCTGTATTACAAAAGATGTGTTGTTGTGCTGAATAGAGATGTGTTTCTTTTGCGCTGGATACGGTTTCCCATTAAAAGAGGTGTGCTGTGGTGTTGTGTACGGTTTCCGTATTAATAGAGTTGTGTTGTTATTGTGCTGGATACTGTCTCTGTATTACAGAAGATGTGTTGTTGTGCTAGATACGGATTTGTATTGAAAGAGGTATTATTAATCGAAACGTGTGGTTGTGGGAAGTACACTTTTTGTATTGGTAAAAGTGTGTAGTTGCGTGGGGGAACACGGGTTATGTATATCTGTTTGGGGAGGGAGCGCGATCATGAGCGATGGAGTTGTGTCTGGGGGTATGATTGAGTAGATATGTTTGTGTGTGTCATTTGTGTGGAGATGAGATGTTAATGGAAGCGCTTGTGAGTGGGTAAGTGGGTAAGTTCATTTATTAGTGCATCTGTGAGTGAACGGATTTGTGTATAACTTTTGCTCTCATGTCAAGCCAGCTTTATTTTGGTACCAGATAAAGTCATGTGAAGTAAAGGCGGCCGGCGTGAGGCTCACCAGTCACTCGCTGAGTGCCGATGGATCTATAAAGGGGCTGATAAATGGTTCTTTTACACTTGTGAGTGAGTGAATTTGTGTGCGCAGGAATTTATGGGTGCATTTGTGTGTGTGTGTGTGTGCTATAATTCGATCGGATTTTTATGGAACGTTTGTGAGTAAACGGATTTTGTTGCTTATCTATAGATGTGTGTGTGTTTGTGTGTGTGTTTGTGTTTGTGTGTGTTTGTGAGTCAGTGATTTTGTGGGTGGAAACCTATGTGAGTGAATGAGCTTGTGAATGAAAATTTTCCTTATTGATTGAGAACATGAGCTGAACAGAGATTGTGAATGAGAAAGTTTGTAAATGACCTGGTTTGTTAATGGGAGTGTCTGTCAGTGCATGTTGCTGTGAATGGGGACAACTGTCAGGGAATGGGTTTCCTAATGGGGACGTTTGTGATTAAATGACATCAATAGGAACGTCTGTCAGGGGGTGAGTTATAAACTAGTACGTCTGTCAGGCGAGGCGACACAAGGAAAACATTAGACATAGTTCACCCACCCCACCTCTCCCGAGGATACAAACATATTTCCAATGTAATTTTAAAGGCTATTGGCTTGAGAATATAATGATAATAACATTAATTTACAACAACAACAAAAATGTTTAGAATAGTGTGTTCATATAAAAATACATTCGAAATGTTATGAGAGAATTTGTATATGGTTAAAGGGTGCTGCTTAACGTCCTTAAATTGTTTGTGTAGTTAGGGGGTCTAGTCTCGAAGGGGCCCAACCCCCCCCCCCCAGCTTCTGGCCCCTGTAAGTGGCTGTGTTTGTGAATAAGACCCTCTGTCAGTAGAGGAGTGTTTGTGTGTTAATTTTAACTTACTTGTGTGCCATGTATGTGGTATTCAGTATTCTAGACATTTGAGCAATAAACACCGAGTATGGAGACCTTCTCTCCACGTCTGAATCCGGGTGTATATATATATATATATAATGGTTTGCATGTCTTACACAGAAAACCCAGTGACATAGGCAGTATTGAATGTAGGCTGGGCGAAAGTCCTGAAAATCAGTTGCTGCGAATGTAAAGTTTTTAATAAAAACAGAAGAAAAAAAAAACTGCTGACAATATTACAAGGAAATGAACCGCCCCCCTTCCCTTTCCCCCACCACACGCTTTTAGACATGAGTAGATGATCAAGTTAAAAGTTAAGATTCGTTTCCACCCATGAGATGCGTGAGTAAGGTAAAGCAAACAGCTGAGGGTCCATTTTCACGCCTTTGGACTTATGGGTACATGATATAGTAAACAGCTACAAACCCTTTATCATGCCCAGAGATGCTAGAAATGTGGGAACGTTATACAAAAAACAAATGAGGACCTGTTTACGTGCTTTTATTTAGTCGATTAGGTGAGCCAGGTTCCAAAATACCTGTATCGCCTAAATGCATATTTTACTTACTATAAACTTGATGCGCCAATAGAAAGTGTTCTTTACTTTGTTAGTGATTTTCTTTTTTTAATACTTTTTTTTTTTTTTGCGATAAAATATGTTTTTTTTTTTTTTGTTCACTTCAGGCAACAATACTTTACCTGGCAATTTTTGGAAATAGCGTTGTACTGTTAGTCCTGCGACTGCGCAGACAGAAACTCAGCCGGATGCAATGGTTCATCGCTCATCTAGCTTTTGCTGACCTCTTTGTGGCTCTGTTCAACATCCTGCCACAGTTGATCTGGGATGTGACAGTCGAGTTCTACGGCAATGACTTCATGTGTCGGGGTGTCAAGTACTTTCAGGTATTTTAAAGTTTAACTCAACAGGATTTTCAGTTGTCAAAATGTTTGTCTGTGGAGGGGTTCAGATGGAAACAGAAATAGATACTTATAAATAAACAGAGAGAATGAAAGACAGAGAAAGAGACAGAGCGAATGGGAGACACACACGCATACACAAACATACACACACATACACACAAACACGCACACACAAATAAAGAAAGAAAGAGCCAAAACGAGAGAGAGAGAGAGAGAGAGAGAGAGAGAGAGAGAGAGAGAGCGAGAGCATGATAGACATGCACATAAAGAAAGAAGAGAAAGAAAGACAGAGAAAGAAAGACAGAGAGACAGACAAACATACAGACAAACAGAGATATTTGCAACAGAGAGAGAATTATTGTGATAGGATGAGTAGGGAATCATACTTCCGTCATCTCTCCAAATTGTTGTCAATGGCTGTTGGATTCCTAACATTCGCCATTGCACTGAAAGACATTTATGACCAAACTGTACGTGCCAGGCTGCCCTTTCAGAACTCATATTCTAGAAATCCCTTTGTGGTTTTCAGTGATGAAGAATACCCATAAAAACAATGGGTCCGAGTCTTTTCAGATGGGTCCGCACAAAGTGCAGTTAGAAATGGTGGTGTTGAAGTGTACACATAATTCTCAGATGGTACTAGGGATAAGTCTAGCGTACCAACTGGGAACTACTGCCATAACTATGATGCAGAAACTCAGCTATCAAGAAAGCAACAGAGAAACTGCTAAATACTAATCTTGGCTTTCACCATGTAGTTATGCTGACCATTGCAAAATCTGTACTTGAAGCACTCCAGTCTAGGAAACTACCAGAACTGCAAACGCTGCTGACACAATTCAGCTTTCAGCAAAGAGCCGTAATGCATGCCGTCCCATTGTGGAGTGCCTGGAAATGAGAAAGCTGATCAACTGGCAGGGGACGGTGCGACAAATGTTTAGCCGGATGTACCAGTCACATACCACCAAAAGAAAAGGATTATTAAATCGATCAGCAAACCACCAGCCCCAGCACAAGACGACTATTTTATTATGGACAGACCAGAACAAGTCATTATCCTCCGCCTCAGAACAAGACACAACCGATTACGCAACCACATTTACACAAAATTAGAGACAGGCGTATCAGCCATGTGCACCTGTGGAAAGGTGCCCCAGACAGCAGAGCATGTACTCCAGGACTGCACCGAATTTGACAGATTATGGCAGACCTTTTGGCCAGACAGAACAACAGTGGAACGTAAACTCTATGGATCACTGAATGAATTAACAACGACAGTGAAATTTATACAAGAGACAAAACTGCTGATATAGACAACTTATTTCAGGCGAACGAAAGAAGAAAAAGAAGATTCCCCTCTCCCCTCCCCAACGCCCATTTAAGATGAAGGGGGTAAAAGGGGAAGAAATGGATAAATTTTCCCCTAACTAAAGTTGTGTATCCTTTACAAGACGTTGCAGAGAGAGCCAACCGCAGCATTCTTTGGATGCTGTGATTTTTCTAGCCACATTTTACGTACAGTAGTTTTCCATTGCTATAAACGGTCGGCTCTCGGTACCACTGTCGAACACTACGCAAGACAGTCGGCTGCCAAATCGCCTGCAGCTTTACGAAGAACGTTCGCAACGCTTAAGCTACAGACCCCTGACAAGCATGAAGGTGTAACTAACTATAGGTTTCCTTCCAAGGCGCAGTGTATCTGTATGATAACGACTAAGAACTTATAGTTGGTCAACGCCACAAAGATACCCTTTAAAATATATGGTAAAGTGCAAAACAAAATAATAGTAACAACAGCAACAACAATAACAACAATCGCAGCAACAAAAACAACAGACTGCTAAAAAAAGATATAAAACCGAACAAAAAGTATATCAGCAAGCTTCACACTATAATGAACACAAATAAAACTTGAACATTGCGACTTTGGAGCCTTCATAAGCACATACTTGAAGAAAACAATATCACACAAATACGCAAAGATCACTTAGCTTAGTATCTCATAGCGGCTAAGTCGATGTCTGCTGAATAATCAGTCGCTTATGTGCATGATACACTTTTCTTTGTCTTCTTCTTCGTTTAGCTACGCTGTGATACCTGCGCCTTTCGGACCAAAAACATCAAATTTTCCTCAAATCCTAAATCAGTCGCCCTCTGTGAGATGCTTGTTGCTAAGCAGCTGAACTATTCAGTTTTCCATTTACAAAAAAAGGTCCCGGAAAAAAAAAAAACGGCAATTTTCTTCTTTGACTGCACTAACTTCTACATCTCTTGCCCCAACATAACAATCTTGCATTACGCAAGAGTTTGTTATCTGGACAAAACGTGACAACGTTCTCGATTCTGTGCCAACGGACAACTTCACGTCTTTCTAATGTAATTTCTCCTAACATTTATAATGTGAATGTCAAAAAGCTTCAAAAAGACGTTAAAAATACAACCTTCGGCATTGTCTCTAGAAAATAGGATTTTACGACGGGGATAATGAAACAAATGTACTTTTAACTTTTTTAATCGTAGCGTGCACACTTTTGTCTCTTTCCGTCCCAAAGAATTTTAATTTGTAGTAAACTAGTTTGGATCTTAATGAGTGAACTACACTGTTTATATATCAATCGGCACTTGATGGTTGACCCAGTACAGTAGATTCGTAATATCTGGTCTAATGCCAGATTTTTAAATATCAAAACCCGCTCTTTTTCATGTTTTCTTGTCTTTTAGTACAGATCGGTACTTTATAAATATTTCGTATGTATTGTACCCGACATTTTGAACCTTTAACACGGAAAAGGGAAGTCCAATAAATACTGTTTATATTTTAAGATAAGCTTTATAATATCTAATTTAACTGCAGAAAAAAATCAAGCATGTCATACACTAAAAAACACACATTTAAAATGAACAATTCAGACTCAATTGTTGCAAGAATTGTTTATGGCAGAACAAAAAAGGCTTAAGAGATAGCTTGTCGTGAATCTAACCATTTGACGTATGCTGGGTTTATTGGTACAGATAGAAATAAAGACTATTGAATATTGGTTAATGATTTAGGAATCGACAGAATATCACACTGGGCATATCCACACATGGTCCGTCTTCTCTCTGTACCGTCTCTCTCTCTCTCTCTCTCTCTCTCTCTCTCTCTCTCTCTCTCTCTCTCTCTCTCTCTCTCTCTCTCTCTCTCCATTTTATGCATTTTGTTTTACTTTTTCCACGTTTCGCTACGTTTACCAGATAATTTTAACAAAATAAATGCATGATCGCTTCTATGTTGATGTTTCGTTCATAATCCTTCGTTAACATTACTTACACTACCTTTACACCCCCCCCCCCTCCTTTCCTCCCCCAGTCACCATCCTCTTCCTTTCCTTTGTCCTTCGTTGTCTTCTTCGTCATCTTCAGCCTTTGCCATTTGAAGGCCACTTGGCATATTGTGATTCATAACTAGGCTGCTATATCTGTCTTTTCTGTCCAACACATCCGACTTCAACAACATTCTATATAGCCACCTTTTACGACACGCTTATTAAGGAACAGTGAGTCTGTTCTTCCCATTGGAAGGGGGAGGGGGGCAAGGATAGACATGTTCATAAGCTGTATGTTAATCTGTATTAATCAGGATTGGTTGGTTATAAACCCTCCACAACATTTGAATGTTAGAAGCATCGTCCAATGCACTTTCTCTCATATTTAAATCCCAAAGAGACCACCATTTTTTAGATCGAGCTTGTTGTTTTATCTCGACAATGCAGATGTGGGGAAACACTTTTTTGTGGGAGCTCGAGCACAACACACAAGATCGAACAGATTTTCGCTAAATGAAAAAGACGATCAAACGGGAAGTAACTAGATGTTCTTACCGATGCTCAAGGGAAAGATATGACAGCGCATATTAAACAGACAGGCAACGTTACGGCCTCAGTTAAATGCCTTTGTAAACAAATGCATATGAAAATCGCTGAACCTTGGATGAGATGCATTCAAGAACGTCGAAATAAGAGACATTCCTGGACAGGTGATGGTACCAACAGTTATAAACAAGGAATGTGACCATATATTGCTACTATCTTAAAAACACACAAAGAAGGAGAAACATCAAACAAGCACTGAAATGAGAAACAAATAGACTGAGGAAAAGAGGACGTCAGTGAAAACCCCTAAGACAAACGCTGATGAGAGAAGGCAAAGATGCCGGGTTAGATAACATCCATGATATTGAAACAGTTGTATAAGATACAACGAAAATGAGTACCGCATTCGATAGGAGACTTGCTTTCAAATCCAGCTGCGACTAGCTGCCGCCCACGGCCGGTGTTCGTAACCAGGCGGTTCCAGAGGTTCATCCAGCCTCTAGCTAATGGGTACTAGAGTTAACACTCTGGGGTCAATAGAGGAACGCCAAGTAGCTACGGAGTTGCGTGCGGACGGCGACACAGGTAGACAATTTCTTATCAGTTGTCCGTACTGGTGGCAGAACAGTTATGGTTTATAACTGCGTTAAATGTCGCTGCTTCCCATCTCCCGACTTTCCCTTTACCTTTTACAACGGTGGGGGGAAAACCCTGTTTGACGTATTAAGGCGCAATGGCCTGATGGTGAAAGTCGCGACATCATTTACAGGGTGTTTGTAAAATCTCACAACAGTTTGTATGCAGAACAAATTTAAAAAGCGGAGTATATAACGCCTTCGAAAGCTCTATACACAATAATCACATCAGTTTATGTTCTCGTATACAGATATAGATATGTACACAATAAGCACAGCAGTTTATTTTTTTCGTCTACAGGTATTAGCTATGTACACAATAAGCACATCAGTTTATATTCTCGTCTACAGGTGGTAGCTATGTACGCCTCATCCTATGTATTGGTGATGGCGGCCATAGACAGATACCTGTCCATCTGCCACCCACTGACAAGCCAGACACTGTCGCCGAAGCGGGTACACATGATGATAGCCTTGGCCTGGTGTGTCTCGCTGATCCTCTCCATCCCACAGATTTTCCTCTTTAGCCTTAGAAATTTCGGTGAGGGTAAGTGTAACTTATTTGGAAGCTGCGGTGATATGGTTTTATAGACGAACGATGAGAATACCCTGGACATATAAAAAGAGTAATGAAGATGTCTTGAAAGAAACTGACTCACGAAAAAAAAAATTAGTTTCCCGCATCAGAAAAAGAAAAAAAAATGTTTCCCGCATGAGAAAGAGACAATCTACATTCTTTGGTCATGTGATGAGAAGAAGCATACGATAGCATCATGACAGTAGGAAACCTAGATTGGAAAGATTGCAGAGGGAGACCGAGAGAGGAAAGTGCTGGACAGCTTGACATCATGGCATGGAGGATCATCTTTATCAGAGTAGACTGAAATTACGCGAGACATAAGTTTGTGAATAGAATAACTACCTACGCCAAACGGCATGGACTTTAAAAAGAAGAAGAAGTGTTGAATATCTCCTTGACATAATAATAGAAGAAAGCTCCAGGCGGACTATTTGGCACTGATAGTTAAAATAAATATTGGATTTTTCTTGCATTTATTGCTCTATTGTGCTATTATATGTCACATAGGGCTCGCAGTCTATAACTCCATTATATTTTATCCTGTGCAGTCATTTCGATTTCACGGATTGAATCCAGTTTACATCTTTAGCTTCTCTCATCAAAATTTTAGATTTTATGTAGACGTCCACCTTTTCTCATAAATAAACAGAGGGGAGACCTTTGAGGCCGTTAAATATTATGAATTGATCAAGTAACAGAAAGTGTATTGATCGGCACTCATAGAAAGAAGTAGACAGATAGATGAACACACAAGAGAACATAAAAATCGATAGCTATAGTTACCGTGCCGGGAATTGAACCTGTCAACTCCAGACGGCGTCTGCGCCTCGCCATGGAAACAAGTGCACTAAGAATTTAGTCAACTAGGCACTCATAAAAAAGGTGTCTTTTTGGCCATGTCTATCGTTGACCATGTTCTTAGTGCACTTGTATCCATGGCGAGGCCGTCTGGAGATGACAGGTTCAATTCCCGGCACGGTAACTATAGCTTTCGATTTTTATGCTGTCTAGTGTGTTCTTCTATCTTACTACTTCTTTCTATGAGTGCCGATTTGACTTTCTGTTACTTAGTATTGTCGATCCATTCTTTCATAGATGTCCCCTTGCTCTCGTGGCTGATTTTCTGTGGTGTTGTGCCTGTGATGGTAATTCATGTTGCTGCATCTAACGAGATGGTCAGATCACTTGCTCTGCCGTTTCCCGACTGTATCTAGTACAAGGTGTCATTCTCACAATCTGATACTATTCTTGTTCACTTGATCAAGGATGGTTATGCTGGCTGCTCTTCAAGGGCATCCCATCTTGCAGGTGGTAATTTTGCGTATATGGGCTTTAGATAATGTCCCTGTTTGCATTTGTAGCTCAATGTTAGTATGAAAATGTTGTCACACCCCTCCCCCCATCCCACATAATGTTCGGGTGTCCTAATAATGGTGACAATTACTATACAAGCCCACTTGCTTTTTAGCATTTGCTTCTTACTTCGCTATCAACTCTGCCATCTTTCGTAATCACCATTTCTAGATATTTAAACTCCCTAACTTGTTGAACTATTCGGCTGTGTGTATTGTGGGTTAGGGCTTCTACTAGCTTGCACTGTTTCGGTTTCGTTTGTATCAATCACCTCCAGAAATGCAGTTTGCCATTGATGGAAGAAGTCGGTCACGATATATTGGCTATAACAAGTAACATGTTTACATACGGTATTTTGCCAGCCCAGACGTAAACCGGCTACCGGTCATATTAAATTACCATAATTAAAAAGCTAGACAAATAAAAGGCATTGCACTTGAAAAGAAACAAAACAGCTCGTAGTGCAGCACCGAGCATTTAACTCAGTAACTAAGGCAGTGAAACCGTAGACTGTCGTCCAAATGGGGAAACTACATCATCAGAGCGATCTCAGTAGCAAAACTCAAATTTACACTAAAAACGGACAAAAGGATATTTTTTTTTTACATACTATCCGAATACGGACCACATGCCCCCTTTAATGATAATAGTAATTATTTCACGGAGACTTATTACACGTTCTTTACTTTTTTATTATTGTTTAGAAATGAAGGCAAAATAAAACCAAATCCCAGCTATTGTACAAAGACTTAATTGTTGGTGCAGTTTATGTTTGGTTGCGCGATCTTTACATGACGTTGCAAATCCAGTATTTGTGTGTATGTATGGCTGTTGTGGTTCTATTAGGCAAATTTACGTTTAGTAGTTTGACAATGCCTTTAACGGTCAGCTTTCGGGACCACTGTAGACACAAATGTAGTGTGGTCTGCTGCAAAATCGCCTGCAGCTGAAATCAAACCCTGCACCCCGGCATTACGAAGCGCATTCGCAACGTTCAAGTCTAAAACGCTGAACGTTGAAAGTTTTCTAATCACTATTATCATTATTGGTATAGTATTATTACTTGGGAGTCGCCGTGGCCGAGCGGCTAGACGCTCGCCGCGGATCGGAAGGTCGTGGGTTCGCTCCCTGGTGGAGACGGACTTTTCTTCAAAAATGACCTTGGCTCCCAGGTCGACCCAGCCTTGAGTGGGTACCGGGTGCAATCCCGGGAAGTAGAGGCGGCTGGCGTGATGCTGACCACATCACCCATCTTGTGCCGTTGGTCTATAAAAATATAGGTCTAGCCCTATATGCCCTATACGCCTAGAGGCGTGGAAAAGGGTCCTTTACTTTTTTTTTACTTTTTATTATTACTTGTTTTATTATCTATTAATCGATGTAACAATTAAAGAAGTCATCAAAATAGTACGGTCCAATTCTGAACCGTTTGAAAATAAAGTTTGTTCGTTCGTTCTTTCGTTAGGTTATCAGAATTAAGGGACGCTGGCATGATATTGACGATATCAGTCCTCGAGTGTGGATTGATCTGTAAAACATAAAGGGCCACATAGATCTATTAAAAAATTAAAAAAAAAAAAACAGAAAAAGGGTCAAATTGATCTGTAGAACATAAGGACCAGGTTGATCTGTGAAAGGAAGGGTCAAACTCGTATGTAGAAAAAAGGGTCAAGTACCATGTACCTGAGGCGTAACCAGTTTCAAAAGTTATTAACTCTTTCACCACAGTTGCAGAAAGCCCTACTCCCGCTGTCCCCGGGGACCCTAATATAACCTAAAGGTTGAGCGGGGTTTCCACTACGTGCATCTGTGTGATTCTCATCCAGATGGTTGCACTTTGTGTCACCTGGTGTTTATCGATCGTTGTGTGGTCCTGGTGAAGTTGAACGTCACTCGGTGGTTTGATTAGTCAGTTTTTACGTCTGTTTATCGTGTTAGATTCCTTTGTTGGAGTCCGTTTTTAAATACCTATTAACTGTTTCAGGTTACTTTGTCGAAATCAGTTTTTAGATGTTTGCTTATCGTTCAAAATGCCTTTGTAAAAGTCAGTTTTTAGATGTCTGTTTATCGTTTCAGGTTCCTTTGTTGCAGTTCGTTTTTAGATGTCTGTTTATCGTTTCAGGTTCCTTTGATTGCTACGAATCTTTTATTGAAGGTTGGGGCATGCAAGCATACGTGACCTGGATATTTTTGTCTGACTACGCAATTCCTTTCCTTATACTGGCATTCTGTTACGGCAGGATATGTCACGTGGTCTGGGCCAGTGTTGGATCCAAGGAAACCGCTGTTTATGTGTGAGTACACTCCAAATGAAAAATATCTTATGCAATAAATCTCTCATTTAATGTCAGAAAGAGGGTGCTAAAATGTTACATAGAATCTGTTCTGCTGTAGGGCAGCGAATCTTGGAATGTCAGTGAACAAATTTAGAAGCAACAGAGATGTGATTTCTGAGACGACTGTTACGAACACCCTGGACTGCCAGAGTAACTAACAACGATTGCTTGAAAGATGCTAATGAAAGTTGATCTCTATATACAACAACAAGAAAGAGAGAAATACTGTTCTTTGGCCTCGTAAATGAAAAAAAAGAGACATTGGAGAAATTGTGACAACTGAAAAGATCAGTGGACAAAGAGGTAAAGGCAGACCAAGAAAGATAATGCCAGATGGGCTGAAACGATGTCATGGGGGAATATCATCAAGAGAGCTGTTCCAGGCAACTAGGGATCGTGATATGTGGAGACGCATGAGCGCCTACGCCAGTTGGCAGGGCACATGATGATGACAA